CCTTCCGTGCCCCCTTGGTGTGACGGCCCATTCCACTCGGAGTGTAGCCTCCTCTTGGGCTTTAGCGCACGGCGCCTCGCTAACAGACATCTGCAGAGCTGCAGGCTGGGCGACACCCAACACCTTCGCCAGATTCTATAATCTGCGAATTGAGCCAGTGTCCTCTCTCGTACTCGTTCCGGCCGGTACTGGACCCGCTCAGGTGTCTTCGCTTGCTCGCCACTCCACTCCCCGGACTGGATAAGTGCGATATTTCCTCAGTTCTTCCATTGAAGTCTTGAGTCCTCCAGCACCGACGATGCGGGCACCACTGCTGTTGCTCTGGATGCTAGCTAGGTGCCTCCATGCGCACGGTTCCCCATGGTAACCGTCTCATGTGTATTATCCACTGTAAGCCTCCCTGAGCATGTGTCTTCCCTTGGCAAGCCATCTGCCACCCCTGGAGTTTAAATATTAGCCACCTGCGGTTGGTACTCCAGTGTTCCATATGCGTCCTATGTGGCCATATATGTTCTTAAGTCCTCCCTTCGGTAGGCAACTGGTAGCATGTCCCCTTCGGGATATGTTTCCCAGTGTACCTTGGTAATCCTGTGTCAAAGTCGGATCCCCAAAAAAAAAAAAAAAAAAAAAGAGTAAGGCTCGGGGGTTCAGTCTTTCGCAGGGCACTGGAAGACAGCTTGAAGATGGCGTGATGGCACAGACCCCCAATCTCCGTCACTTCTGACGTAACTCGAAGTGACTACGAAAGGGAACGTCTCGGTTACGTATGTAACCCTCGTTCCCTGAGTAGGGAACGGAGACGTTACGTCTCCCTGCCACTTCTGCTGTATCGCTGGGTAGATGCCGAGTTCAGTCTTGGCTCCTCAGCGAAGACATACTGCGGTTGCGTTCACTTCCTCCTTTTATACTCACGGAGTAGGGCGGAGTACGCTATGCAAATTTCCGCAGCCCCAAGGCATTGCATGCCATTGGCTCGTGTTTAAATACTCGAAGAGGATTGGCTTTCTATGCGAAATCCCCCAATCTCCGTCACTTCTGACGTAACGTCTCCGTTCCCTACTCAGGGAACGAGGGTTACATACGTAACCGAGACGTTATCTGGGGCCTCAATACTTGCATGAGGCTTTATTTTTACGCTTTTGGCGCAACAGCGAGCGATAATAAACTTGCACTTATTAACAGAAAAATGCGTCTTTCGGAAAGAACAGTGTAGCCGGAACTACTTCTCTCTGTGTACGTCTATGACGAGTCACGAAGGTACTGTAGTACTCCGCAGCGGCAGCGATCCGAACCAGTGTAAAATAGTCCCAATGTAAACACTTATTATAGGTGCACCATAGTGGTTCAGGATAAGACAAAAACACGGATTGGAAAATGGATTCATGATGAACTCACTCATTATGTACATTTTGTAAATTTTGAACAGAAAAAAAGTTAAGGACTTTTATTTAATGCTCATTGCTCAAACCTTCAAAATATACCGCGACCCCCCCACAGAGCTCGCTGAGGCTCCCTTGTGGGCCGCGACCCCCCTGTTGGGAACCGATGAGTTAGTCAATTGCTCAGTCTATTTAGGTTACCTCAAAATAGCAATGCGCCAAGAATGCGCCCGAACACATCTGGTTTTCAGACCAGCACACTCAAATGAATTTGCTATTTAAACAATGTGTTGCAGGACGTGAAAATGAAACCTGCATCAGGCTGAAACTAGAAAAAAAACACTACACTCTAAAAAATGTTGGGTTGTTTTAACCCAATTTGGGTCAAATATGGACAAAGTCAATTGTTGGATTAAAAAATGTAATTTATAAATTTAACCCAACGACTGGGCTTGTCCATATTTGATCCACAATTGGGTTAAAACAACCCAGCATTTTTTAGAGTGTATGGCTCACCTGGCCTGCATTGCATTGGGTGAATTTAAGAAATTAAATGTTGTGAGAACATAAACGTGAACAAATGTTAACGTTGACGGGGCAGTGCTGCATCATCACGAAAGCCTTGCCAATTTAAATATTCAAGCGCAAGAAGAAGCAAAGGAACCCGTTCAGCCTGTATCAAAAATGATTTATGGCCGGAACATTTTCTTAAAGGATTAGTTCACTTTTGAAAAAACTTTTGCTGATAATTTCCTCACCCCCATGTCATCCAAGATGTCCATGTCTTTCTTTCCTCAGTCGAAAAGAAATTAAGGTTTTTGTTGAAAACATTCCAGGATTTTTCTCCTTATAATGGACTTCCATGGGAACCAGGTCCAACCGAGGTCCAAACAACAGTTATAACAGTTACAATTGCAGCTTCAAATGTCTTTAAACGACACCAGACGATGAATAAGGGTCTTATCATGCGAAACGATCGGTTATTTCAAAGCTTATTCCAAAAATGTAACTTTTCTAAGGACAAATGCTAGCCTTTCTCCATTCTGTGAGGCGCGTTTGCAACGTCACGTAATACGTAATTACGTTCAAAAGGTCACGGGCGACGTAGCCAGAAGTACAGAGTCAGAGTGTTTACAAGTTGAACGTATAGGTTGAACGTGAAAACTAACTCAAACTCCGTTTACAAAAAAGGAATTAAAAGGTAAAACAACGATGTCGGACGATTTTGATTCTGTACTTCCGGCTACGTCGCCCGTGACCTTTTGAACGTAATTACATATTACGCGACGTTGCAAACGCGCCTCACAATATATTACAAGGCTAGCATTTGTCCTTAGAAAAGTTAAATTTTTGGAATAAGCTTTGAAATAACCGATCGTTTCGCATGATAAGACCCTTATTCATCGTTTGGTGTCGTTTAAAGACATTTGAAGCTGCATCTGAAACTGTTATAACTGTCGTTTGGACCTCGGTTGGACCTGGTTCCAATTGAAGTCCATTATAAGGAGAAAAATCCTGGAATGTTTTCATCAAAAACCTTAATTTCTTTTCGACTGAGGAAAGAAAGACATGGACATCTTGGATGACATGGGGGTGAGGAAATGATCAGCAAAAGTTTTTTCAAAAGTGAACTAATCCTTTAAGTCACTGGCCATTAGCTGGTGTGGCAAAAAGTTAGTTTTAGGCCCTGGTTTGTATTTAAGGAGTGTGCAAGTTATAACTTAACCTATTACTCTAACAAACAGGCAGATTTCACTCTTATCATAACAATAAATGGTAGCACTTTATTTTACAGTCCTGTTCCGCATACTGATATATTAATTACAATAACTGGGTAATAACCCTGAACCTACCCCTAAACCTAACTTTAACCCATTTAAATACCCAGTACTTTCTTATGTAAGGACACTGTACGTGCTAGTACTGTAACACAATACAACATACATAAAGATAACACATGCTCAGAATTTAGTCTGAAAGAGCCATTTTGAGCTATTCCATGTTTAGGTTGAATGGTCTTAAACAATCTTTTACTTCAGTCCAATTCTTAAAACAGTATTTTGATTATTCTGAGCACCAGATGATGTTCGTGATTCTTACATATGTAGACTAAAATGAATGTGAAACTGAAAGAAATGCTCTATACATAGCTCACGTTTAGATTGCATGCAAGGTTGACCCTGATCACCGAGGAAGAAGTATTTCATTATGTATGAGAAACCATCTGCAAATTCTTCAACAGTGAATTTGATGTCGCTCATCCTAGTAACATACACACAATTATCCTCAGACACGCTGGATATGATTACAGGAGCAAACTGGATAATTATTCACCATTAAAACATTGTAGCTGGCCACAGCCTCATTCATTTGCATCTCCTACCATTTTCTGTCTCTTAAAAGCTGTAATTACAGCCAGAGGAAGCTCTTCACTGCCTGTGCTGTTAATGCTGTTGAAAGCCCTGGAGGGTTTTTAGACATTATTTGCATATAATCAGCATAGGCTATGTTAGAATAGTGGAGCAGTGCAGTAAATAAAGCAGTATTATTCAGCAGGTAGCTAATGGTAGTGAGTTTACTCAGAATACGCTTGTCTTAGCAGAACTGCAACATGAAAACAATAGTTCTCTATTCAGTCAGCATTCATGTAATTAAAAGAAGCATTTCCATACTGTTGGTCTAATGAAACTGTATGTTAAGTTTTAACATTTGAGGGATTCAGAGCATAAAAGTGTTTGCATCCAGATCTATGCTTTTAAAGACCACTTTAAAAAAGCATAGGTTGTGTCTTTTTACCCATATTTGGTACGGGATTGTGCGCTACATCTTCCTCAATTATAGTGAGAGCACTAAATCTAAGAGCAATGCCTGCACAACACAGAAGTGGACGTGGGTGGAAGCGTTCGCTCTATCAGTGGGCAGATGCACGGAGACCGGAGGTGTAGAAAGAGCAGGTCAGCGTAATGAAATGGTGCCAAACGGCTTATTGTGGGAAATGGGTCATTGCGCTTTAGGTGTCTGAGAACATGATTAGGATGTGTAAGGTTTAAGGCAATATTTATTATTAAATATTGTTACACCACTTGACATTCACTTTAAAATGTTTATTTAAAATTGTCTAAATTCAGATAAATGAATGCTGTTAAAAAAAAACTTTTTGGTACGTTTTTTTTATTATTATTATTTTACCAAATTCCATTTGAAAGTGATGGCAGTGTTTGTCTGATGGCAGTGTTGGCGGGCGTCTCACAGACAGATGCGCAAGATGCTGTGGGCATGTTTACTTCACTCACCCAGTGAAAGTGAACAAGCTCCTTTTCTATGTGGGTGAGAATATGAATATATGTCTGTGAGTTCCTCATTTTGACCTTTGGTTGCTTTTAAAGGGTCTTGGTCTGATTTGACTGCAGCAATACATTAGTTCTTTCAGTACTTTCCTTTTATTCATTTGCTGCTTTTCTCTTAAACATCCTGCCCTTGAAACACCGGTTTAAAGTGTTCACTTGTTATACATGGGTTTTGTTTAGCCAGGTCATTGTAGGATCTGCTTTTGAATCTTGAATGAGTGAAGAAATGAAATATTATTTGTGTGATGTTTTATTATTAAAAGATATTAATAATTTACTATTCTTTTTTGGCAGGCATGCGTCTCATCTTGGACTGCAAGGCTTTTTTCGGCTACAGTGGTGATTCTAAGCCCATCATCTACTGGATGAAGGGGGATAAGTTTGTAGAGGAGTTGGAAGGACACATAAGAGAGAGTGAAGTCAGGTACTGTTTTGGGGGGCTTATTACCTGTTACTACTTGAATTAAGAATAACAAACTATAAATAGATAAAGCATGCATGATTTCCAACTGAAGAGCAGACTATGATTATATAACAGAACACTAACAACCTCCAGGAAAACAGGTGTGACACATCCATGAGGATTACTGAGGGCACAGAGACCTCTAGTGGACAAGGGTGCAAAAAATTTACTCTGGAAAGAATAGAATAGATTTTTGTTGCTGCATGAACAAAAAGGTAGGGTTGAATGGATTCACCCAAGATAACAGTAATGTAAAAAAAAAAAACACACACATTTTGCAATTGAATTGAATTTAATCTGCTTTTCTGGCGAAGTATGCCTGAAAATACAAGACAATATATTGTCACTTAAATAAAAAGTGTCAAATCCTTATGTATTACTCAACATATTGTAATATATTAACAATATATTATTCTTTATCATTTCATTAAATCATTTAATATATTGATTGTTCAAATTTAAGCAAATATATTTTCTTTGCATAAGACTACCACCACGCTTTGTTCAAAAATACAAATTGTTCAAGTGCATCATCAGTAATCAAACTGTTAGTTGAACCCTCGCCACCAAACTTCACATTGTACGTTTTTGTACGTTTTGTAATGGACTGACCATCCATCCAGTGTGTTTCCCTGATGTATGTTGGATGTACAGGGATCACTCTGAGGGACGAGCTGTTCTACTGATCAATGTGGTTTCTCCCATAGCACTCGATGAGGGATCATGTTCACTCCACAACCATCTAGAACTTTCTGTCGGACTCTTTTCTTAACATTTTAATAGATATTTAGAGTCCAACTTTCTGTCGGACTCTGAGTTTCCATAGTTGTCCGAGGAAGTAAAGTCTTTATTATGACTTTCTGATAAGTAGAATTGAGTTATGTTGTCATTATTATTGCTAATATATGCGAGTGATTGCCAGTTACCCATTGTGAGCATTTGGGTGTTCAGTGTTTCGCAAGTGTCTGAAATCTACAATTATTTTAAAAATTATGATGTGTTCAGATCATGAAGTGTAAACTCTGAAGACATGCAGATCTCCAGCAGGGCAACTCAGTATCTCAGATATTCACTCACTCACATTTTCTTCAGCTGAACATGGACACACACACACACACACGCATGCACTCTCACTCTGCCTAAGTATATATCTCATGCCAAATTGGCAACCCTACATTTGATATGAAACAAAGTCTCAGTTTTCAAACAATACAAATACTGTTTTGGCACACTAAATGTGGCATAACAGATTATTAAAAAAATATTAAAATCTATTTAAAGTAAATGCTGGTTTATATCTATTCATCATAGATTTTTTTACAGTATTTTTAATCAAGTAAATGCAGCCTTGGTGAGCAGAAGAGACTTTCAAAAAACATAAAAAAACGTAACATTTAATAGATATAGTATATAATATCTATTAATAGATAGACAGTATATAAAACAATCAAAGTTTATGTTATGCCCCCATTCAGTATTGTGTTCCACCCAGATTGAGGGGCCAAATGTCAGCAGAAGGAAAGTAAACCCTAGTGTAAAATATTTGCTATAGGTGGCACACATTAAAGGGACAGTACAATCAATCACAATGTGTCCATTTCCGAATGCTCATTCAAAACCAGGAAACACTGAAGAACATCTGTTATAATAAGCAACCTTGTTTCAGTGTTTCATCTGCATAATTCCTTTGAGGGCTTCATCAGTTTGAGCCATTATCAGCTGATGTCTGTTTGATCTTTATGAAGTACTCTCTCATTTCAGGTGACTAATGCTTCTCCATTATAGGAAGAGATGCTGGAGCCTTATTTATGGAGATTTCTTCATGTTTCACAAATGAAGAATAAAGAACAAGCAGGTCTTGAGGCTGCATAATGTCACAACTGACAAAGAGCTCTGGAGAATAATTTATTAGATTGAACTTCTTTTATCTTTAGTAAGCCTAAGGTTTGAAAGGATGGCATTTTCTATGAAGTATATAAATACTTTAGTATACAATATCAGTATATCAATGATTATAAAATGTCATTTTTTTTTTCTTTGTTTGGTTTGTTTGACATCTCTCATTTGTATTAACATAAAGCATGGTGGAAATGTTGCAAAATCATTAATGAATGCTTAGCCTCTTTTCATTTCTAATTGTTGCTATAAATTTGAAAGCGATCAGATTTAAAAATCTGCATTTCTTTTTTTCCTGGAACAGAAAAGCTATTTTGAAAAATGAAAGTCACTGGTGTTTCATCTAGGTTTCGTACCACGCATGTTCAGATAAGAGAGCATCCAAAGTGAGAGCGAGATCTAAGGAAAGCAGTTCATCTTAGAGAACCTTCAAATATTGTGAGGCAGTGTGTTAAAGAAATGAAAGTCTGAACATATTCAGACTGAAATATGAAACTGATCAACAGGGATGAAGTTTTCCTATACGGGGGCCATGTTTGTTCAGTATATTCATTAAAGCCATGATATTTCTCCTAGTTGCATTCAGATAGTGTTTACATATAACACATATTCAATGAACATGAATTTACATTTAAGCAGTGTTGTGTACTCGAGACTCGGTCTTGGACTCGGTCTCCAGGCCATATTTTAATGGTTTCGGTCTTGTCATGGACTTGTGTGCATTTTGACTCGGAATTGACTTGAACATATGTACTCGGACATATTAGGACTCGGACTTATTTTTTATATTTCTTTAAATTGATGTTTGATTGAAACGCAGTTGATTGCTAACTTTACAACTATAACGTCTATAACTATAACGTTCGTGGCACGCAAATGCAGCAGGACCCAGGTCAGATGTGATGTGGAGCCTCTAGCTCAACTATGTATTGAAAACGTCTGCCGTATCATCCATAATTCAGTTTGCATATAAGAGCCACACAGAATTTGTGTGCAGTAATGTTATGTGAAAGAGCACTTACTAATTGTAATAATTGTCAGTCATAATTGTTATAAAATTACCTTTACATCACTATGTGGCCTTTTTACCATTACAGTGTACATGATTCCATGGTATATTTGGTTTACTGTGAGTATGGTGCCAATTTTATTGTTACCACCAAATATTTTACATATTCTTGAAGATAACTTTAAGTCTGGTTTCAGACACAACCTTAGGTTATCCAACCTCTCTGATCTCGGTCTCGACTCGGACTCGACTCTCTTTGGTCTCGGTCTCGACTCAGACTCGACTCTCTATGGTCTCGGTCTCTACTCGGACTCGACCCTCTATGGTCTCAGTCTCAACTCGGACTCGACTCTCTTTGGTCTCGACTCTCTTTTGTCTCGATCTCGACTCAGACTCGACTCTCTTTGGTCTCGGTCTCGACTCTCATTGGTTTTGGTCTCGACTGGGACTCGACTCTCTTTGGTCTCGGTCTCGACTCGGACTCGACTCTCTATGGTCACGGTCTCGACTCGGACTTGACTCTCTATGGTCTCGGTCTCGACTCGGACTTGACTCTCTTTGGTCTCGGTCTCGACTCGGACTCGACTCTCTGTGGTCTCGGTCTCGACTCGGACTAAACTCTCTATGGTCTCGATCTTGACTCTCTTTGGTCTCGGTCTCAAATCGGACTCGACTCTCTTTGGTCTCGGTCTCGACTCGGACCGAGACCGAGTCGAGATTCCGAGTCCGAGACAATCGGACTTGACTCTCTTTGGACTCGACTCTCTTTGGTCTCGGTCTCGACTCTCTTTTGTCTCGATCTCGACTCAGACTCGACTCTCTTTGGTCTCGGTCTCGACTCGGACTCGACTCTCTATGGTCACGGTCTCGACTCGGACTTGACTCTCTATGGTCTCGGTCTCGAATCGGACTTGACTCTCTTTGGTCTCGGTCTCGACTCGGACTCGACTCTCTGTGGTCTCGGTCTCGACTCGGACTAAACTCTCTATGGTCTCGATCTTGACTCTCTTTGGTCTCGGTCTCAAATCGGACTCGACTCTCTTTGGTCTCGGTCTCGACTCGGACTCGACTCTCTCTGGTCTCGGTCTCGACTCGGACTCGACTCTCTTTGGCCTCGGTCTCGACTCGGACTCGACTCTCTCTGGTCTCGGTCTCAACTCGGACTCGACTCTCTTTTACCTCCGTCTCGACTCGAACTCGACTCTATATGGTCTCGGTCTCGACTCGGACTCGACTCTCTCTGGTCTCGGTCTCGACTCGGACTCGACTCTCTCTGGTCTCGGTCTCAACTCGGACTCTATTCTCTTTGACCTCCGTCTCGACTCGAACTCGACTCTCTATGGTCTCGGTCTCGACTCGGACTCGACTCTCTATGGTCTCGGTCTCGACTCGGACTCGACTCTCTATGGTCTCGGTCTCGACTCGAACTCGACTCTCTATGGTCTCGGTCTCGACTTGGACTCGACTCTCTCTGGTCTCAGTCTCAACTCGGACTCAACTCTCTTTGACCTCCGTCTCAACTCGAACTTGACTCTCTATGGCAGGGTTCACAATCTCGGTCCTGAAAGGGCCACTGTCTCTGCAAAGTTTAGCTCCAACCCTGATCAAACACGCCTGAGCAAGCTAATCAAGGTCTTCAGGATCAGTAGAAACTTACAGGTAGGCGTGTTTGATCAGGGTTGGAGCTAAACTCTGCAGGGACAGTGGCCCTCCAGGACCGAGATTGGTGAACCCTGCTCTATGGTCTCGGTCTCGACTCGGACTCGACTCTCTATGGTCTTGGTCTTGACTCTCTTTGGTCTCGGTATCAAATCGAACTCGATTCTCTTTGGTCTCGGTCTCGACTCGGACTCGATTCTCTTTGGTCTCGGTCTCGACTCGGACTCGACTCTCTTTGGCCTGGGTCTTGACTCGGACTCGACTCTCTCTGGTCTCGGTCTCGACTCGGACTCGACTCTCTCTGGTCTCGGCCTCAACTCGGACTCGACTCTCTTTGGCCTCCGTCTCGACTCGAACTCGACTCTCTATGGTCTCGGTCTCGACTCGGACTCGAGTGAACTGGTCTCGACCACAACACTGCATTTTATGTTATATATATATATATATATATATGTGTGTATATGTATGTATAGATATCATGTGTGTTTGTGCAGGGTGGTGCGAGAGTTTCTTGGGGAGAAGGAGGTGGAGCTGTCTCTGATCTTTGATGCTGTGGATGAGATGGACATGGGCAACTACACCTGTAATGTGGAGAACCACATCGGCCGTGGCAGTGGAAGTGCTATCCTGCAGAAGAAAGGTAAATCACTGGGAGCGATGTTCTGCATGTTTTAAGCTCAAATGTCGACAAAGCGGTAGATCTGTGGCTTTTCCACAAAGAGGGTTATGCAACTTACCTAAGTGAGTTTACTCTGAAGAAGCAGATAACCTCAACTTTCGGTTCCAAAACCTGAGATAAATTTCAGGCTATGCAAGTGGCCATAGAAAATTATTTTCTCAACACCTCCTGCTCCGGAGCAAGGGTTCGTTCACCTAAAAATGAAAATTAAGTCATTAATTACTTACCCCCATGCTGTACCAACCCCGTAAGACCTTCGTTCATCTTCGGGAACACAAATGAAAATATTTTTGATTAAATTTGAGAGGTGGATCACTGCTACATAGGCTCCTAAGGGATCGAAAGTTGACTGCCCAGAAAGTCATTGAAGAAAAAATTAAATATTCCATGAGACAACAGTGGCTCAACTATAAGTTTACCAAGCGACGAGAATACTTTTTGTGCGAAAAAACAAACAAAAATAACAACTTTATTAGACTATTGCTTTTCTTCCTTGTAGGCATGAGACGAGAGTTCAAGAGATTTCCACGACGCACTCGCGAGAATTGCGATCTTCTTCAACAACTTCAGTTAAGTTCTCGCACATGCGTCGTGGAAATCTCTTGAACTCTCGTCTCAGGCCCAGAACGAAGAAAAGGAATAGTCGAATAAAGTCATTATTTTTGTTTTATTTCCGCACAAAAAGTATTCTCGTCGCTTGATAAACATATAGTTGAGCCACTGTTGTCACATGGAATATTTAAACATTGTCTTCATTGACTTTCTGGGCCGTCAAGTTTCAATCCCTTAGGAGCCTATGTAACAGTGATCCACTTCTCAAATTTAATCAAAAATATCTTCATTTGTGTTCCGAAGATGAACGAAAGTCTTACGGGGTTGGTACAGCATGGGGGTGAGTAATTAATGACTTAATTTTCATTTTTTGGTGAACTAACCCCTTAAGGTCACTCAGTCAGCCTAAAGTAATAAATCCCAGATACATATACCGTATGAAATCCATTCTTTAGAAATCTATGGATATGGATTAAAAGGTGGAGGTGGAATAATGACTGTTTTCCCCAAAGAACAGCTACTATGACCTTGGCTACAAAAAAGAGAAAGGATTTTTTAAATTTATAAAAATAAAGAAGATGTTGATTCAATATGATTTTACCCTTTCACTTGCTGCACTTCACCCTGGACAGTGAAGACGTGATGAAAGTGTGTTTCTGTTCTCATGTAGATATGTACAGGCTGGAGTTGGTTGGTGGTCTAGGCGCCATCATGCTGTTATTGGGGATCTTCACTGCCATCTATAAGTGCTATAATGTGGAGATCATGCTGTGCTACCGGCGACACTTCGGCAGCGATGAGGCAGATGATGGTACGTAATAATAGTAATAATAACATTACAACTAATAATAATCATTAATTGTCCTTGACACTTGGATCATCTCAGACGGCTCTCTTTCTCTTTCTCCCTACAAACATGCCTAAAAATGCATGTAAGAAACAGTTAGCTATACAATTTACTGGAAGTTAAAGCAGAAAAATTCTTAACCACAACTAAACCAAAAAGTACTTGCATCACAAGTAAAACAATTCAGTCATTTTACAGAATTAAATGTATCCAATGGCACAGTTACCAAACAGAAAAACCAACAGGTCTAGGGCCACAGAAGTGCTTCTTGACCTATGCTGAAACATTCAGAAAGTGCAGACAGAGCATAGAGAGCATTTCTGTTCATGTCGCAACATCTCATCATTAACCGAACAGTGGGAGCAAATGAAGGAGCGATTCATGTTTTGAAATTGAACCAGACATTGTACGTGATTATGTGTTTGCAGATTATGATTGGGTAGGCCTACAGAATATGATGTTTTGTGTCCACATATTTTTTTGCCATTTAGTGTACAGTTTATTGTAACGTGGAAATGGGAATAAGAACACAGGATGATAATATATATATATATAAAACATGTAATCTTGCAGATTTTATAATAATTTTCACTTTATAATAACTGTTATGCTATTAATCATGTGTTAAGCATGAGTAAACAGTTAATTCATCATTTATAAAGCATTAATAGACATTAATAAGCAGTTTATAATTACAGCTATAAATGCTTTTTTCTTGATTTATAAGCATATCTATAATGCGTTTAATAATTGTATTTGCCCCCTTTATTAATGATCAATTAATAATTTCTAAATGAAGTATAACATTATTTTCAAACCAGTTATTTAAGAGTTGTCAGTCATTCATAAGATCACTTAGAAAGTGTAAGTAAATGTAGTAAATACAGGTAGTTATAAAGCATTTAGTAGTGGTCAGTTGACTATTTTGTGAGCTCATCTAAAGTGAGGACTATTCATGCCCTGTAAAGCATTTATAAAGGAGATTTAAAGGCTGTTAAATATTCTATGTTCTGTATCACTGTGTTGTGCACAAACATAGTTAACTGACCACTACTAAATGCTTTATAACTACCTGAATTAACCCTGAATTACAGCATAAATACATGTTAATAAAGCATTTATTAACACACTAAGTAACCATCACTATATGTCTGAATGATACGATGTATGAATGTACATTTAAATAGTTTATTAATCATTTAAGTTTAAACGCTCTAAGTAATCGTATGAACCACTGAAAACTCTTAAATAACTGGTTTATAAAAATGCATTTCTTCATTTAGAAATGATAAACTGATCATTAATAAAGGGTGAAAGTACAATTATTAAACCAATTATAGATATGCTTTTAAATTAAAAAGAAAGCATTTATAGCTGTATTTATAAACTGATTATTAATGTCTATTATGAATGATGAATTAACTGTACTCATGCTTAACTAATGATTAAGTGTTACCCATGTTGGTTTTTTCTAACATTACTAAGGAAAATGAATTAATTAACTGAATATAATCATGTAACCCTGTAGGAGGCATAAACACATTAGTCACTGCAATAATTTAAACGAGTGTTATTTTAATAAACAACCAGGTGCTGTCTAGTAATGCAAAATGCAATACGCCTTATTCACGGCAGCGCCATCTTTGATTTTTAATGAGAATGAAAGCGAGGCTGTGAGGGATAGACATGCATCTCTTCAATGGGCTGTACTGTTATTTAATGTGTTTTCGGATTGTTCTGCTCATGAAACACTGGAAAAATATCTTTCAAAGAAATGTCAGTTGACAAAAAAAACTCCCGACAATGTAAGCTGTGGAAAATTATAAGTAATATAGCCGCTTTATTCAGCTTTTTACTGCGGATGCCATTGGAAACACGGTAAGTCCATCCCTCACAGCCTCACTTTCATACCTGTCATGGCGCTGCTCTGAATAAGGTCTATTCTTTCATCAAAGCACATTCAAACTAATCTCACAAGAAAGCTTGATTTTTACATTTTTGTGATTCATTAAGCGTGAAGCTGCAGGCCTAAACTTACATTTATATAATATTTACATTTATTAATTTAGCTGACGCTTTTAGTTTTATCTAAAGCAACTTACAATTGCTATCTATGTCAGAGGTCACACGCCTCTGGAGCAACTAAGGGTTAAGTGTCTTGCTCAGGGGCACATTGGTGTCTCACAGTGGGTTTGAACCCGGATCTCTCACACCAAAGGCATGCGTCTTATCCACTGTGCCATCACCACCCCATGCACCCACCAACTTAACCCTTAGTGGTGTGAGAGCTGGTCATACAAATGAGACCGTACCAGTTTGCCACCAATTTTCCAAAAATGTGAAATAGCAACAAATTCTCATGAGACTGTGTTTTATAAATCATCTGTGAAACTTTTTTTTTTTTTGCCAAATGTACAGAAAAAGTGAAAGTGAAATGAACAAACCTTACGCTGAAAGAAATACAAATTCACGTCTGTACAGTAGAGGGCGCAACTCAAACCTTTCAGCTGTGCTGCCATTCTGGATTGCAGAAGATCAAGAAAGTTCAACACAGTTACTTCAGCAATAATAATAATAATAATAATTATATATATATATATATATATGTATATATATATACTGTATATATATATATATATATACTATATATATATAAATATATATATATATATATATATATATATATATATTAAATTCAACACACATTGAAGGTGTGGTTGAATTGGATAATCGAAGTTCAGCAGCAAAGGCGTTGGTTAATAAAGTCAAAGTAAAGGCATACAGTGTAGGCTACTTTTATGGTTTTGTTTAGTTTGTCTAAAAGCAAATAAAGCTCACTATAGAAAAAAATAAATAAGTCATTTTTTATTTTTACTTTGTATGAATATTGTTTCTCATATTTTGAAGTTTTTTAGATTTATATTAAATCGATTTAAAATAATACATTAAACATAAGTTGAAAGTGTACAACTTATCTGTTCTTTTCAGACAACAAAGAATATGACGCCTACCTCTCTTACACCAAAGTGGACTTGGAGTCAGTGGAGCGAGAGATGAGTGAGGAGGAGCTGTTTGCTCTGGAGATCTTACCCGACGTCCTGGAGAAACACTACGGATATAAACTCTTCATTCCACACCGGGACCTCATACCCAGCAGCAGTAAGAACAACATCCTGCCATTTCACGTCCCTTTCATTCATGAGTGCAAGTTAGAATTTAATCAGGCGCATGACTGACGCGGCCTTGCACACGAGCCTGCTGGAGGGAAACACACGGTGTTACGAAAGTGTTTCTGCTTTGTAACTGCAGCTCATCATCAAATCAATTCTAGGGGACTGGAAAGATATCTGAGGGATAATGTCCCAAAATAAATACTGATAAGTGTCCTGTACCACAAAGTGAGTTCAACAAACTCAGGATTCCAGGATTGGTTTTGCTTTGAGAAAACCGAATAAGTTCAACCCCTCATTATAAACGTTAAAATGGATCCTGAGTTTGTGATTAGTCCACATGCACAGAGAAGAATGACATTTGCTGAAAACTGAGTCATGTGAAACTAGAAGAGAGATTCACTTCCTGTGAGTGGTTTACTTCTGAGCTAATGAGAAAGAGCTTGTTATTAACAATATGAAGAGTAGAAATGCATTTAAAGGAGTAGTTCACTTTTCAAAAAACTTTTGCTGATAATATACTCACCCCCATGTCATCCAAGATGTCCATGTCTTTCTTTCTTCAGTGGAAAAGAAATTAAGGTTTTTGATGAAAACATTCCAGCATTTTTCTCCTTATAATGGACTTCAGTGGGAACCAAATGGTTCAAGGTCCAAATGACACTTTCAGTACAAACTGCAAACTGTTCAAAGGCTTTAAACGATTCCAGATGATGAATAAGGGTCTTATAAAGCGAAACAATTGCTCATTTAATAAATAAATAACAAAGTTTAAGTTTTATATGCACAAATGCTTGCCTTGCTCTGTTCTGTTCTGTGACGCACGTTCGTGACTCTCCTGTTCGTACTCATTCATCAAAATGAACGAATCTTTTTCCGAGTCATTTGGTTCATTCAACGAACGAACAGAACGAATTGACTCTGAAAAAGATTTGTTTTTTTCAGGAGAGTCACAAACGTGAGTCACAGTACAGAGCAAGGCGAGCATTTGAGCTTATAAAACTTAAACTTTGTTATTTTTTTTTTTAAATGAGTGATCGTTTCACCTAATAAGACCCATTTTCATCGTCTGGAATCGTTTAAAGCCCTTTGAACAGTTTGCAGTTTTTACTGAAACTGTCTTTTGGACCTTGAACCGTTTGGTTCCCATTGAAGTGCATTATTTGGAGAAAAATGCTGGATTGTTTTCATCAAAAACCTTAATTTTTTTTAGACAGAACAAAGAAAGACATGGACATCTTGGATGACATGGGGGTGAGTAAATTATCAGCAAACGTTTTTTGAAAGTGAACTAATCCTTTAACTCAAGAAGCAGAAACTGAAAAGCTTGAATATCATATTTTACACATGCAGCAGTTTCAAACATCATGAAATTATAGTCTGTGAGTCATTGCAGCCTTTCTTACCAAGTCAAATGCCTCATACTATTAAATAAAAGGCAAAAATAATTGAATTCAACAATTGTCACGAGCTGGGCTCGAACTCGGGTCTCTGGTGTGGAAAGATGAATGTTCTACCACTTAGCCACAGAGGAGGTAGTGTTGGACCCAAACGAAACACTCAAGGCAATACTCCAGGCAAAGTAGATTTATTAAAAAAAAAGATACTTTGCAAGTCAAAAATCCAACAAAAGTTCTTCAGAGAAAAAGGAATGATAGTAGGAGAAATAATGCAAACAATAACAGGAGAAAAATAAAATAACTCCACGAGGGGAGAAAAAAAAAAACTAACTCAAACAACTAAGAATAGCTTACTTGGGATTGCTTGGAACTTAAGAGCACAGTGGATCACAGCAGGAATCACATAGCCAAGACTCAAAAACCGAGTGAGGAACAAGGGGAAAAAACACAGCTAAAATACTCTAAGGAAAACAAGGCACAGGTGACCTGCATAATAGCTAACAAGGATGCATGAGGAAGAACTAAGGCAGAAGGGAACACAGGTGACCTCTAGAGGCCCGGAGAAGAACAACAGGAGGCAGGATTCTCACAGGACCCCCTCCTCTAGGAACGACCCCTGACGTTCCTTCCAGAACACCCTGGCCTCAGGGAGCGAAACTCTCGGATCAAACTTGGGTCCAGGATGTCCTTGGCAGGAACCCAGGAGCGCTCCTCCGGTCCGTAGCCCTCCCAGTCCACCAGATACTGCAGAGAGTTCTGGACCCTCCGGGAGTCCAGTATCCGGCGTACTGTGTAGGCTGGCTGGCCGTCAATGATCCTGGGAGGTGGAGGGGGTCTGCGGGGGGGGCAAAGGGAGAAGACAAGACTGGTTTAAGTAATGAAACATGAAAAGTGGGATTAATTCTAAGGGAACGAGGGAGAAACAAACGATAAGAAACCGGGTTAACTTTCCTTGCTATGCGAAAAGGTCCGATGTATTTCTGGGAAAGCTTCTTAGATTCGACCCGGAGGGGCAGGTTCTTAGTAGCCAACCAGACTCTTTGACCAGCTCGGAAATTAGGTGCCATCCGGCGGCGGCGATTAGCCTGGGTTTGGTATCTCTGGGAGGTCCGCAGGAGTGTACGCCTAGCCTTCTTCCAGGTCCGTCTACAGCGTAGGACAAAGTGCTGTGCAGAGGGAACACCAACTTGCACTTCTTCCTCAGGAAATAGTGGAGGGGTATATCCAAACTGGCATTCAAAAGGGGACAATCCGGTGGCCGAGGACTGGAGGGTGTTGTGGGCATATTCAGCCCAAATAATATAGGTGGCCCAAGAAGTGGGATTACTGGCTGCCATACACCGCAAGGTGGTCTCCAGATCCTGATTAATCCGTTCCGTCTGCCCATTAGACTCAGGATGGAACCCGGATGATAGGCTGGCTGTGGCCCCGATAAGCCTGCAGAAGGCCCCCCAAAACCGGGATGAGAATTGGGGACCACGATCAGAGACAATATCACGGGAATTCCAAATATCCGGAAGACATGATTCATTAGGAGCTCAGCAGTCTCCTTGGCTGAAGGCAGTTTGGGCAGGGGGATAAACCGGGCAGCCTTAGAGAAGCGGTCAACAACCACCAGGATTACAGTGTTGCCCTGGGATGGAGGAAGTCCTGTAACAAAGTCCAGAGAAAGGTGTGACCATGGCCTTTGGGGAATAGGTAAGGGACGGAGCAGACCCTGGGTCGCTGACGTGTAGTCTTTCCTTGATTACACACAGGGCAGGCCTCCACATAAACCTGGACATCCTTCTTGATGGACGGCCACCAAAACCTCCGCTGGAGGAATTCCAGTGTGCGAGCACTACCTGGATGGCACGTCAGGGGCGACTCATGACCCCACTGCAAGACCTGGGCCGAACAGATAGAGGAACGTACAAGCGTCCGGCAGGACCACCACCTGGATCGGGCTCGTGGACAAGGGCCTCTCGTACCCCTCTTTCTAGTTCCCATTGAAGAGGCGCAACTATCCTAGACCCCGGAATAATCGATGCCAAGGGCTTCTCCTGTGTTTCGGGAGAGTAGACTCGAGAGAGGGCATCCGGCTTGCCATTCTTGGTGCCGGGTCTGTAAGATAGGAGAAACTGGAATCGATTAAAAAACAGGGACCATCGCGCTTGCCGAGGGTTCAACCGCTTAGCCTGCTGGAGATACTCCAGGTTCTTGTGGTCGGTAAGAACTTGGAAAGGATGCTGAGCCCCCTCAAGCCAATGGCGCCACTCCTCCAAGGCCAGTTTTACCGCAAGCAACTCTCGATCCCCCACGTGGTAGTTACGCTCGGCATCAGACAGGCGGTGAGACATGAAAGCACAAGGGTGTAATTTACCATCCTCACCCCTCTGTGACAGGATGGCCCCTACCCCCACCTCTGAGGCGTCCACCTCCACCACAAAAGGTCTTTCTGGGTCAGGAATAACAAGAATCGGAGCGGAAGTGAAGCGGCACTTGAGATCCTCGAAAGCCCGCGCAGCCTCTGAACCCCAGTGAATCTTGGTTCCTCCTCCCTTAGTAAGTGCTGTTAAGGGGGCTACCACCGAGCTGAAATTCTTAATGAACTTCCTATAGAAGTTTGCAAAGCCAATGAAACGTTGAACCTCCTTGACTGTGGCAGGGGTGGGCCAGTTGAGGACTGCCTTGACCTTCTTGGGATCCATTTCCAGGTGGCCGGGAGTGATGATAAACCCAAGAAACTGAGTCTGGGAAACATGAAAGTCACACTTCTCTGGTTTTACGTAGAGATTATTGTCAAGAAGT